ATATAAATATATACACACACCAATATGTTTACAAAAACCCAGCTCACTATTCTTCTTCCTGGCAATTTACCAGCTTTAGCCAGGGTCTGCTAGAACTCTCTATTATAGCCTGAAAATTCGCATAAGGAAATAGTTTTGTTCATATGAAAAATCCAATTTATAAAGAATTTTGTTATATTTAAAGATAATTATAAAAAAAATCTAATTTTTTTTTATAATTATCATTAAATATTTTCATCGTGTATCTAACTACTGGTAGAGTGATTTCTCAATATCATTTATTTGATCGAATAAAAAGTTACATCGAAATCTGTTCAGTCGTATAAAGATAACATTAATAATATAAAATATTAATAAATAGATTTTTTAATAATTCCTTATGCATTTGCATGTCAGGATGTTGAAATATCGTATTTCCTCGCTAACAGGAAACGGATGTGTGTGTTGATCTATTTTCTATAAAATGACGTTAATATTTATGTACGTCACTAGTATACAAATAAACTTTCATCCCTACTAATATAATATTATAAATGCGAAAGTAACTCTGTCTGTCTGTCTGCTACGCTTTCAGGCCTAAACCACTGAACTGATTTTAATGAAATTTGGTACAGACATAGAGTTGATCTTGAGAAAGAACATAGGATAGTTTTTATCCCAGACTTTTGAAAGGTTCTCTTGGAAACGCGATATAACTGAACTCCACGCGGTCGGAGCTGCGGGCGGAAAGCTAGTTGTATATTTGAATAAGAGTCAGTGGTGGCCTAGTGGTTAAAAGGCCCGCCTCTCGTGCATGAGGGCGCGGGTTCGATCCTGCCAAGTACCAATGTGATTTTTCCGAGTCATATGTACTTTCTAAGAGTATTTAGAGACCACTGACTGATGAAGGAAAACATCGTGAGGAAACATGGACTTATAATCAAATTATAAGTTTGAAATCACCGACCCGTCTTGAGCGAGCGTAGTGATTAATGCTCAAACCTTCTCCATGTGAGAAAGAGGCCTTAGTGGGCTCTGATAGGATGATGATGATGAAGTGTGATACTATGTATTAGAAATTAAATCATATATATATAGGTTTATATTAAATTTACCTTTGGTCAATGCGGTTTAATACACATCTTGATGTACGAAACAATTCAATTTTAGAAAAGTCTCAATAAATATTTCGATCATTGTAATACATCGATAAAAATCGATTTTATACGAGAATTTAGAATTTTAATCAATAATTTCACAGTATAGAAGTAGCTTAAACATTCCGTATTCGGAATCTTGAAAGTCTTGACCTAGTTTTTTTTATAAATCTAGTTTTTTATGTTCAGATAAAGTTGCCTTTTAAGATAATAAAAGTTATCTTTTTGTTTCTTTTCTTTCTTTCTTTTATGAATCTCCGTCGTTGTTTTAATTTTCATATATAAAGCGTGAAATCTATTTCTGTTTCGCATTATATGTATTTTAATGCGATTGAGATTTTATCAGTTCAATACACTTGGCTGATTGATGTACATGTGAGTGTTATACTATTTATGTATCGCTATGTGTGTGTGTTTGTTTCACGATAATACAAGAACTATTGTATTGATAAATACAATAGTTCTTCAAATCAATCAGTGAATTACTTTTTTATATGATTCATTAAATTATATATAAACACAGGTACATTTTCTTAGTTACTATAATAAATTTATATATATAAATTGGTTGATTTTTTTGAACTCTTTTTGTCTTTTTGTCTTTTTTTTTTGAAGTCCTTTTGGTTGTTTGTTTGGTTTTTTATGTATATAGAGGCTTGTTAGTTACATTATTTATAACTCAAGAACGGCTGTACGGTTCTGAAAATTGGTGGCCCGATAGATAAGAACATAGAAAGGACATAGGATACTTTACATACGATTGAAAAAGAAAAAAACATCAAATTCAAAATCTCCTTATCTACTGTCTTTAAGGAAGAATAGAGTTCGCCCGGTCCATACATTTCTAATTCTGAAACTAACGCGGACAAAGTTGCGGACAAAAACTAGCATATACTAGCTGACTTAGACTTCGTACTGCCTCAATCAGTAAATAAATATATTTTTTTTACATTTTCGGAGTTTACCTATTAAAGCCATAAATCTCCGTGTTTTGAAGTGCTACAGAATGATTGACATATTAGTTTGTTGTCAAATCTAATGTCAAAAAAAACGTTTGTATGGGAAATAGAAAAGGGCTGTTTTTAGGGTTTTCCCAGTAATGATTAATTTTTTTCACCTTTTAACTGAACCTCCACGAACATTTCAAGACTAAGATAAGATAAATCCGTTCAGCTGTTCTCGATTTTTAGTGAGACTAAGGAACAGCAATTCATTTATATATATATATATATTATTTGTAGTGTTGTACGTGTGTAGTATTGGTATTTAATGTATCAAGTGAGTAGTGTTCAGTGGAGCGAGGGCAGGCATTGTTGGTCGGGGCTACGCAACACTGAGCTGCTATTGAAAAATTATTATTAGAACCAATGACGCGTTGTGTGGGTTTTTTTTGTTGTGTTTATATATATAGATATTAATGAATATATTTAAATAATAATTAAAAGTATGAGATTATTAGTATATATATTGTTCAGAGAATTTTAGTGATCTATTTTGAGATACATTACGATGTTATGCTAATAATTCAAATTTGTTACTTAAAATACATTAAAAATAAAAAAAAATTTGATTCAAATGTTCTCATAGACGATTAGTATATTTGATGAATATAAAATATATTAATAAAAATATGTTGAACACTTGACATGTAAAATTTTAACTTATTTTTAAACCAATTTAATATAATCTTTATATATAAAAGAAAGTCGTGTTAGTTACACTATTCATAACTCAAGAACGGCTGTACGGATATGGATGAACATTAATGGAGAGATAGATTAGAACCAGGAGACGGACATAGGATATTTGATATTTTTACATAGAAAAAGAAAAAAATAATAATTCCAATATCTGTTTATTTATGGCCTCTAAGGCGGAATATAACTAATCAGCTATACATATATTATTATTTCGAAATTTACGACCAAGCCACGGGCAAAAACTAGTATTTAATAATAAATACTCATGACATATGGCATATAGAATTCCAGCGTGGCTATTCACTGCATAATGCGGTTCACACAAATGGATGTAGGTCGAACGTAAAGATTAAATATAGTTTACATGTTTACAATAACTATGGAAGTAACTGGTTGCACAAGACATATACCCCGGCGTTGCTTGATGAATGTATGGCAAAAATATCATCATCATCATCAGCCTATCAGAGCCCACTGCTGAGCCTCTTCTCACATGGAGAAGGTTTGAGCATTAATCATCACGCTCGCTCAAGACGGGTTGGTGATTCCAAACTTATAATTTGATAAGTCCAGGTTTCCTCACGATGTTTTCCTTCATCTGTCAGTGATGTCTAAATACTCTTATAAAGTACATATGACTCGGAATATATATAGCAAGTCTTTATATTAGATAGGTGTAATAATAGAAATAGATTTTGTTTTGTTGTAAATTTTCGGTGTGTAAACTATGGATAAACTGACAGTGGCATATATAGCTCTTATGACCTTTCCAGAAACGAATAAAAAGTTACCTTTGTATATGTATATAGTATTATTTATATGAAAGTAAGCCAGATATAATGTATTAGAATGTGTTTATAATATTGATACTTAGAAATAGTTTTGAATGTCCTTATTGACAAAAGTATTTCGGAAAGAAATAAACCATTTCTTATTCACTTATACTTACCAGGGATATATTTATTTATTCATATATATACTAGCTGACCCGGCAAACGTTGTTTTGCCATATAAAAATAGGGGTTCGTGATAAAAACAAAAAATTTCGTTGAAAATAAAAAAAACAAATTGTGTGAACAACCCTTTTGCGACTTTAAGATAAATAGATGTTGGGCGATTCTCAGACCTAGTTGATATTCTCACAAAATTTCATCAGATTCGGTCCAGCCGTTTCGGAGTTCTCTGTCTAACTCCGCAACACGAGAATTTTATATACAAGATATAATTCTGAATAATGTCCTATAGTTTCGTAGTTAGATCGTAAAATACCATGTTTTTAGTACGAGTTAGTTTCGTACAACCAATTTAAACTATTTAATCCCTCCACCGACAACAAAATGTAGTTTAAAGTTTTCGAGATATTTCTATGTACTGTAAACAGACATACATACACAGTTTGACATACATGTTTCGTGTTTGTGAATATTACAAAATACATATTAATAGAACGGCTATTAATAATTCGTTCCAGATGTTTGTAGCGTCAAAATCTTGTTTACAGCTAGGGCCAACGAGTTTAAATTATAAATATATGTTTTATTAACTTAAATTTTTTTCGTGGTTAAATTAACTGTCAGTTAAACTAACTGTACTCTCTTGTAGTATTCTCGTTGTAACTAATGTTATTTCTAGGGTCAAATATATATTATAAACTAGTGTCCCGTCCCGGCGTTGCGCGTGTGAATAAGATGTTTTTAACTTTCCACCTTTTTATATATTTTTTGTGTTATTTTGATTTTAAACATTATTTATTTAAAAGAAATAATGTAGGACATATTTTTATTGTATCGATTATGGTTTTAGGGCATTTTTTTATTCTTTTGAGTTAAGTCTCTGAAGTTTTTTGAAGTATCTATAAATATTACCAGCAATAAATATAACCTACGTTACTCAAGATTAATGTATTTTTCAATGGTGAAGGAAATTGTGAAATCGTCAAATTTGTTTTTGAGTTTATTATTACTATTAATAATTATATAAAATTCCGTTTCTCATAATACATACAGACAAATAAATATAAAAAAAATAAAACAAATTCTGTTCGTGTGATCGTGATTAAAACTGTAACTAATTATAACGAACTGTAAAATATCAAGGACAACTGTAATGAACTGTAAAATACCAAGGAAAACTGTAAATAAGTGAACTGTAATTTACAATCCAAATGCCGTCATCTGGTATATTGAAGAACAGTATGAATGAGGAGTGTGGACCCTCGCTGAAGAAACGACACTCTATAGTGTCTGGCAGAAGTGACTTTTGTGAGTTTCTTATTATGATTATTGTTCTATAAAAATGTTCTGTAAACCATATTTGTGTGATCCTTGAATTATAATCTTATAGATAAACAGGAATCGAATCTGCGACTTGTAGAATATGGTTTCAAATGTTTTTCTAACGAAGCAATGACTAATGAGTATAATGACTTTTTTGTCTCGTATAATCCCTAATGAAAATAGATCTTTGAATGTATGTATGTTTATGTATACGTAAAATATAAAAAGACTAATTATTATAGACGGCTTTGTCTGTGTTTGCTACAGAATTTATGTTGTTAGTTATTAATAATAGCTTCAAATAATTAATAAATATGAACAGTAAGCGCCATATATCAGTCATTTAGTGAGTTCAGTCTCAATATATTTGTCTTCCTAAGAGTTTATATAAAGTTTCGATATGAATTATATACTATATTTAGATAAAATTAAGAACTTTCTAGAAAACCTAGAAAGGTTTCTTCTGTACTTTCAATAAGGCTGGCGACACATTTAGATTATTCTTAAGACGTACATTTATTGTGGTCATTTGATGACATACGTAGGCACTTTTCCACCATTTTTTAAATAAAATATTGAAATGTGATCTTATGTATTTTATGTACTGATATTAAAATAACTTGTAAATTAAAAGTAAAGTACAAATGATTTGCATTATATATACAAGTTCATATTCTGTTATTGATAAACCGATTAATTACTAAGGCTATGTAAAATCCTTAATATTCTTCTTCACTTACCTCCTTGTCATATCATGACGTCATTCATCATGACGTCAGCGAATTTTATTAAAAGTTTAATAAAAGTCACGCCTAAAATATATTAGGGATTATGTCAAAAATTTCATGTAGAACGATGAAATTGATTGCAAATTTAAGGATGTGTTAGATAATCTATAAACGCAATACACAATCTATGTATTATCTGTCATGTCATCTGTCAAATTGTTTTGACGTTTCGCGCTATTTTCAGCTGTATAATCTGTCAACGTGTTTATTATTAAAACCTCTTTATACGCTCATTTTAGTTCCTATTGTTGTCGCCAGGGTCTTCGTCAGATGAAGACGAGGGTGTCCAACCTCATGAGAAGGCTATAGCCGCCGGCCAGCCGAATCCCCCGTACTGCGTTCGTAATATAGAACAGCATGACTTTGGTAGGAGGGAGATTGAGATCGCTGAACAGGAGATGCCGGGCATCATGGCCTTGAGGGCGAGGGCCAAGGATGATAAGCCCTTGAAAGATGCGAAGGTATGTAGCTTGGAGTATGACTTGTGTGGACAAAAAAGAGTTCCAATATCCTGATATAAATGTCGTGGTTATAGGATCTCTAGTATGTATTGTGTTATTAATAATTTTCTAAAGGAATTAAATAGGAGTACTAGAATGTATGCAGCGTTAAAGAAATCCCTAATACAATATAAATACAGTAGAAACTCTATTAACCGGACTAATTGACTAATTGTTGTCGATAGGCATTCGGATAATCGAATGTATGAAGAAAAGACGGTTTTGTGCATATGTAGTACATAATACTATATGTTTATTTAAAAAATAAATTACAATATGTATTTGTATTTAGCAATTGGTAATCATGAATTATAATAATAAGTTTAATTTGGTTTAGAATATTTGGTAATAGTCATTTGACGTACGCCACTCTCAACAACACTCTCTTACTCTTTGAAATACTTTCATGTCCGTACTTGACCGTAGTCCGAATAATCGCGAATCTATATTTATTGTAGTATAATGAAATTGATAAAAGTTATTGTATGTATTTTTAAGCTTCGACGCAGGAAGGAAAAAGGATAGGAAAAGTTGAGGTAGTAATAGAAGACTGTGTGTGTGTATGTGTGTGTATCTATAGCATGTAGCTCTTAAACAGAACGACCGATTTCTATCCGGTTTTCATTATGGTCTTTCTTTAATATCGGCCCAGTAATGTAAGAGTGTTTTTAAAAAACGATAAAAGCCATTTTCACTACTGATTAATTGATTGTTTGACTGAATATAATCGTCACGTTTCAATCAATGATTATGGATGTTCTATTTTAATAATATTAAGTTAGGTAATATGTGTTACCTACAGATAGTAGGCTGCACACACATCAACGCACAGACGGCCGTGTTGATCGAGACGCTGGCCGCTCTGGGCGCGACTGTGCGCTGGGCCGCCTGCAACATATACAGCACACAGAACGAAGTGGCCGCGGCTTTGGCGGAGGCGGGTAGGTCACTAATATACAGGGTGACTGGTGAATTACCATCGATACTTGAGGACGTGATATTTGACGATCATATATGACAAAATAAAAATTAATATAACATAAATATTAATAAACTTCTAAGTAAAGCTAACCAAAAGTTATGTAATTAATTACGCATCGTGTGAACACCCTACAGATTAGGTATACATACACACTCACACATACGCGCGCGGCGGCGTGTTGTTGTATCAGCACGCCGCCGCACGCGTCCACACTTGGAATAGTTGGAACGTGTCCACACTTTATTTATTTATACGGAAATTTGGTCAAAAATTAAGTACCTATTTTTTTTACATAATTTGAATGAGAATCATGTACCGAGTATGGTCCTTAAATATTGATAGTAATTCACCAGTCACCCCCTGTATATATATATATATACATATATATGATTATATTCAGTGTTATATTACATAACAAACCTTACATAAATAATGCTTACATTTTTTTAATAGAAAGCTTTAAAAGCAATTCACAGTTTGTTTATATTATTTTTTAACATAATAGATTCAATCGATGTTACATTTTATATAATATTTTGTTTTTTGTTGCTTAATTTTTTTAATTACACATTAATTGTCTCGGAAATATATTTATTAATTATTACCCACTATGAAGCGAAAACATTTTTTAAAAATCAAATTCGTTTCCATTTAATTCGCGTAATATTTTATTTATGAGAATTATACATTTAGCATTATATATATACATTTGATTTTATAAACATTTTATGTTCTATAAACCTTCCAAGATTTCATTAAAATTAATAATTTCTTTAATCCATCTATAGTATTTGCTTCAATAACATTTTTTAAAACTATTAATTCTTTATATCTCCCATACATATAGGTTACGCGATATTCGCATGGCGTGGTGAGAGTGAGGAAGCTTTCTGGTGGTGTATAGACCAGTGCTGTACTCCGACTGCCAGCTGGCAACCGAATATGATATTGGATGATGGAGGAGACGCTACTCATCTCATGCTGAAGAAACACCCGGCGGCCTTCAAACAGATCAAAGGTTACAACATAGAGGGCGCTAGTAGCTATATTCCGTGTGGAGTTCAGTTATATCGCGTTTCCAAGAGAACCTTTTAAAAGTCGTGGATAAAAACTATCCTATGTTCTTTCTCAAGGTCAACTCTATGTCTGTACCAAATTTCATTAAAATCAGTTCAGCGGTTTAGTCGTTAAAGCCTAACAGACAGACAGAGTTACTTTCGCATTTATAATATTAGTAGGGATCTAAATGTAATGTTTTCTTTGAAAGTTATACTAGCTTTCGCCCGTGACTTTTTCTTTGTCAATTCCGACATAGAAAAATTTTGTTAATGTATAATTAAATGTTATAAATGAATAAATTATAATCTATACGTCTTCCAAATCTGAGATGTATGTATGAAAAGTTTCATCGAATTTAATACAGTACAGTACTTATATAAATATATATTAGTAGTAATAACTCGAGTAACCTCGCGAGGATTTGCTCTTAACATAACTTTTAATGAGAACTCCTGTGGGTGTTGGCCTAATATATCAATTACTTAGTGTAGCAACATATATTATACTATACTTAAACAATGTCTTCGATTCAGAGATACGAAAAAGTATATACAATGTATACGGTAACAAAACATGAGCGGCGATATATACAACTAGCTTTCCGCCCGCATCTTCGCCCGAATCGAGTTCGGTTATATCGCGTTTCCAAAAAAAATCTTTTAAAAGTCTGGGATAAAAACTATCCTATGTTTTATCTCAAGGTCAACTCTATCTCTGTACCAAATTTCATGAAAATCAGTTCAGTGGTTTAGACGTGAAAGCGTAACAGACAGACAGACAGACAGAGTTACTTTCGCATTTATAATATAAGTAGGTATATTGAACTACCCTACATAATATTCTATTCTTACAGGTATCGTAGAAGAAAGTGTTACAGGAGTCCATAGATTGTACCAGTTAAGTAAGGCTGGCAAGTTGAGTGTACCAGCTATGAATGTCAATGACTCGGTGACTAAGACCAAGTTTGATAACTTATATTCATGCAGGTGAGTTGGAAGTGAGTTTAAAGTGAGTTTGAAGTGAGTTATAGATATTTGGTAGAGAGAGGAGCTTGTACAGTGGAGGTGATCGTTTAACGTTAGATAGGGACCCCTTAAACCTACACCTGAGTCACAAGTCACAGACACTGTGGAAGCTCCTCTCACTACAACGATGGACCCGACACACGCACTGTGAATATATGGAATGATGAGAGGTTTAGTCTCATATATATATTTAAATATTAAAATAAACTTTATATTTGTACATAATTTGAATGTTTTTATTTACTTTTTTTCAAATTTATATATCAAGGATTATATATAAAGAATTTTCCTGAAATAGAAAAATAAATGGAATCTTTATTTTAATATGAATATAGAATTATTGTAACATTCTAAGTACATTTTAAATAATCATTACAATATATATTTAAGACTAGTTATTAATATTAGTTACATAGAGAATGTGTTAATAAAAGACACTACAGTTAGCGTCCAAAGAGAATTGTTAACAAAATGATAATTAAATTATCATATAGAATATAAGCATTTTTCTATACTAGTTTTTGACATCAACTTCATTCGTAAGGATTTAATAGAGTGTACTGGAATAATAGATATGTGAATTAACAGAAGCGACATCTACCGCCAGTTACATGTAACTATACATATAACTGTTTTGTTTTTATTCTCAAAATAATATGAATATTAGGTTTATTTTAATATTTATATTATTCTATTCACAATAGATCATTGGAAACCATTATCATAATCATTTCTATAATTTTTTCTTGATAGACTAATATATGTATATTGGTTCAGTACATAAATTATATAGGGTGGCAAAAAGAGGTACCAGGAAAACTACGAAATATACTTATATGTATATTATAATGAGAATTACATATTAAAACTTATAACCTACACCTAACACTACATGATGCCCCGATGTTAGGATAGCAATACCATTCCATAGCTTGTGTGTATCAGGAATCTTCTGGTTCACGCGCTTGGTGTTCGTTCCGCGGAGTCAGCGGCCTCACTCGTTATATATTGTTAACTATTTAGATTTTGTATAGGATTCTCATATTAAATGAATTTGAGATTTTCTGTTGGACAAAACTAGAAACTTTATTCTTCACACGTTGGCAGAGAGCATAGACAAGAGACTAAACTAAATATAGATAGCAAAATTATTTCTTATAAATGGTCTCCTCAGACGGATTAACAAATTTACCTTATTTCTATATGCTAAATAAAATTATATATTCAACATATATTTTATGTATACAAGGATGTCGCCCCGGCGTTGTTCATTTATTTCTTTCTAACACATACAAATACTTGATATTTTATTCCAGGGAGAGTATAATAGACGCTCTGAAGCGTAGCACGGACCTAATGTTCGGTGGGAAGCAGGCGGCTGTATGTGGCTACGGGGAGGTGGGGAAGGGGTGCTGCCAGGCGCTGAAGGCGTTAGGATGTGTGGTGAGTATATATTTTATGGGAAAAGGGGGCAACCGAGCAGACGGCCTACTTGATGGTAGGTAGTTACCGTCGCCCATTGACATCTGCAACGTAGATATGCAGATGTGTTGCCGCCCTTGTTTGGGGAAAATGGGGAGTAAAAGGTGGGAACAGGAGGGAAAGGAAAGGGTGGGAAAAGGGAAAGGGCAACCGGCTCTCTCACTCATCGGACGAAACGCAGCCATTAAAGGCTACTTCACGCCGATCTTTTGTGAGAGGGTAGTACTTACGGTCGAGACAGCATATGTTCGAGCTGTAGTGACTTACTACTACTCTAAAATGTATTGATCGATATATACATATGAGTATGTAGTGTATTAATTTTGTTTCTGCTCCATTCATCTATTCACTAAAATATAACGTTTATTTCAATTTTATTAATTTTATTAAATTGATTAAATTATATTATTTTAAATTGACCTCTATCAAATGATTCCATAATTTTGCATTTACCTTAATATATGAATAAAATTACCGAAAACTGGTATTCAGTTTTTGAAAACATATAGTAATTATACTTTAATATTATTACTAACATATAATTAATATATATGTTATATATTACAGGTGTACGTGACTGAGATCGATCCTATCTGTGCGCTACAAGCTGCTATGGATGGCTTCAGAGTGGTCAAGTTAAACGAGGTTAGAATTATACTATATTATTTTTAATTAAACTATATGTAAATATTGACTATATATTTGAAGCAAATATCTGTTATTGGAATAGCTTTGTAACCTTCGGTTATTTCTAATTTAATTACAACCCCTATTTACATCATAGTTAATGAAAACTGTTGTTACTTCATAAAACTGGTTAGTTTTTTTGAAGTTAAAAAATAACCTTTAGCTAAATTAACCTAAATCATTAATTATTACTAATAATGTTAATCAAAATCCAGAGATATAGTCAGTTTTATTTCGACTCAGCAATCTTCTTCTTCTACCTGGTAATTTCCCAGCTATAGCCAGGGTCTGCCTTACATGTTGTGAATAGTTTTGGCTAATTGTTTTTACGACCGGCCGCCTGCCTGACATCAACAATCTTTGGGAATAAAGAATAAATTTTAGACTCAGCAATATATATGTACTAGCTACGCCCCGCGGTGTTATCCGCGGATTTCCAAGATTTCCGGGATGTAAAGTATCCTATGTGTTACTCCTGGACGTTAGCTTGCTGTACACAAAATTTTATCAAAATCGGTTCAGCCGTTTGAGCGTGAAGAAGTAACAAACATACACACACTCACAAGCTTTCGCAATTATAATATTAGTAGGATAAAAAACACATTATCTTTTCCACTATATAACTCAAACAAAAATATACTTTATTCCAGGTGATAAGACAAGTGGATATAGTTATAACGGCGACCGGGAATAAGGGCGTGGTCACACGGGACCACATGGAGCGGATGAAGAACGGCTGTGTGGTGTGCAACATGGGGCACAGTAACACTGAGGTGGATGTGCACGCGCTGAGGACACCCGACCTCATGTGGGAGAGGGTTAGGAGTCAGGTCAGTGTGGACACACCCTTATATAGATATACTATAATAATAATTGTAGGACTCCCTGGTCCTCTATGTAAGTATAACTAGTCACTGTCTCACTACTAACCCGCCTAGAGCGACGCACGTCCCCGTTCTGCTCCGTGCTAGTCGTGAGACTGGCGAGCGCATGCCACCCCTCTAGTGGGGTACGGGAGACAGTGTATTATATCTATTGTATAGATACATACACTACAATAATAATAATAATAATAATCATTTATTTCAGACCTCGCATAGATCCATATAGTGTTAGTACAAATTAAACTTAATAAATGAATTGGTTAGTAAATTTACAAAAGAAAAGCAATTTTATTTATGATACTTAACAAATTTTAAACAACACATATATTTTACTTGACTATGTGGAGTCGTATCCAGTGTGCTAAAATTGTATATGTAACTAACTAACTAGTGGAGTTCGGTTATATCGCGTTTCCAAAAGAACCTTTCAAAAGTCTGGGATAAAAACTATCCTATGATCTATCTCAAGGTCAACTCTATCTCTGTACGAAATTTCATTAAAATCAGTTTAATGTTTTAGGCGTGAAAGCTTAACAGACAGACAGAGTTACTTTCGCATTTATAATGTTAGTAGGGATGACATATGTGTTTGAAGCCTAATGTTGTGCGTCTAACGAAACGAGATAAATAATTTTGATTTTGCATAGAATTATGTGGGCGTTGTTTATGTATATTACTTTTGTTGGTTAAATTGTTTTATAGCTTTTGTTATATAATAGTTAGTTTTTTCTTTCTTTATAAACTCAGTGTTATTTGTATGAAAAAACATTAACACTAAGAAGTTAATGATAGTTATGAAGTCTTGTTTAATTAAACATTTTTAAAGACATTATACTTGGATAATTCATTATTGTAGTGTTGATAAACCATAACGAGACAATACCACTATATATAAATATATATGTCGCAGAATGATAGCGATGTATAATCCATATTCGTCGTCAGATTATGAAATGTTAAATTTCTTTTTAAACAATCAGTGTGCACTTACAGTTATGGTAACGGCGATAGCTAACGAAACAATTTGAATTTAAAGCATCCTATGAGGCTTCACACTTTACCGATTAATAAAACGAATAACTTTAGAGATTGATATCAAATACATACTATTTAATTTAATTTAATTCGTTTTTTGTGTATTGGATTTAAGTGGAAACTTGATTGATTGATTTTTTTTTGTTTTTTTTTTATTTTTATATTACAGTTTATCTAAATTGTTTGTTTCCCGAATTAAATAAAATAAAAGAAAATCTCTAACATATATATATGTTTTTGTTAATATATATGTGTAGGTGGATCACATAATCTGGGGTAACGGTAAGCGCATCGTGCTGCTCGCGGAGGGTCGCCTCGCCAACCTGTGCTGCTCCTCGCTGCCGTCCTTCGTGGTGTCCGTCACCGCCGCCACGCAGGCGCTCGCGCTCATCGAGCTGTACAACGCGCCCGCGCACAGATACAAGGTGACGCACACACACACGCACACAGATACACACATACAGACATACACCTGGTAACATACATACTGACACAGAGATGCAGGTACAAGGTGACTTACATACACTCACACACACAGAGATACAAAGAAGATAGACATAGAAACATTTTATTACATACACGCGGCGCGCACACTCACATCTAAACAGATATAAAAACACACACACAGATATAGAGATGCAAGGTACCATATATACCATATACATGGCACGCACACGGACAAGCTTGCACACACACTGATACAAAGTGTTATATACACGCTTCACGCACACAGACACAGATACAGACTATTATATACATACATTAGTTCACACACACTCTCATTGGCAAACAGATATATAATTAATCTATAGAACTTTTTTTTGTAAATCAAATATTTAAGGTGGGAGAGTTATAACCGGGTTTTTGCACTATTTTAAATAATAAGGGACCTGAATATACAGAATTTGATATCAAAACATATTAAAATTTTATTAATACACATATTTGAAAACGTCAAGAGCTTTTACTATGAACAACTAAAATAAATTTACTATGAGTAACTAAAATATATATGTATATATATTTATATTTCCAGGCCGACGTGTATCTATTACCAAAGAAAATGGACGAATATGTAGCCAGTTTACATCTACCCACGTTCGACGCACATCTCACGGAACTGACAGACGAACAGGCAAAATACCTGGGTCTTAATAAAGTGGGGCCCTTCAAACCTAACTATTATAGGTACTAGCGCAAGACTAGGACCTACAGGGTCCGGCTTACTTGTATAGACTGAAAATCAAGCTAAATTACTTTACTTTCATATAATCTTGAATTATTTGAGCTATAGTCTATGGTTTGATTATTGTTTATGGTATTATAGTGTGGGTAGATGTAAAACACATGTATGTATGTATACAACTGCTTGTACCGCACTCGTCAGCTGATGCTCGACTGATTTGGATGCAATTTGAGTTACAGATAGATTATGATGTGGAAAATCGTTTTAAATTTCGCATATATATATACTTTTTGACGCGAAGAAATTTCAATGAGCATATATTATATAGCCTTCTGCTGTGTCTTCTTATGTACACTACAGCTTACTGAAATTGTCATTAGAATCGGTACAGCCGCTTTATTTAATAGATCACCGCTGTTAAACTGAGAAAATTAAAAAAATGCATATGGCTGCTTAAAATTAGCGGTTGGTAAAAAAATTACAACAAACAAACAGTATTATATATTATATAAATATTCTATTATTTTAAATTGTTTATGTATTAAGAATTTCAGACTAATTGATTTTAAAACAAATTACTATAACACTTATTCTAAATTTTTTTATTTATAAACTTTAAATTTTTATTTAAATCCCTATCTTAAACAAGAAAGTATTCAAGATTCTCAATGCATTATTCTATAAACGCTTGCCTTTGCTAATTAAAAGAAATTGTCGACGCATAAGTGTCACTGACATAACTGTCAATTCAATTTGACAATCTCTAAACGGAGCTCTCCTATTGGTGGAACAAATATATGATGTGATACAAAAATTTGAAAATGGAATGAAGTCTATTAACGGTAAGTCGTTTAGTTAGTATAGATGGCGTGCTTTATTTTTTTTCAATTGTTTCTTACAAAACAGTATAAATTATAATTTTGTTATAACATAGGGTTAGGTTATTGTTTTGTGATAATAATGTACAAATAGTGAAAGGTTTTTTCCTTATTATTTTTAATATATTTGCCATCAATTTTATTTTATAATTGGTTTAAATTATTGTTTAAAATTATGTGTCAGTATTAGAAATGTTACCTTTTATTGTATTTTTCAGTAAAAAAATATGTTTTTTATGTAAATAACTATGATTGGCCAATTCCAGAAATTCATTCCTAAAAAATTACAAATTCTTAATATTTTTATTATATTTTTTTGAAGTTATAAGTGTTGTTACATAAAATATTATTAATTCAATTTTATTTTTATATTAATTTCTTCATGTATTTCTGAACGAAAACCAATACCATCGAAATAATAGCTTAGCTGTGGAATTGTAAATAGATATATAAAAAAATCAGTTTGAATGTATGTACAGATATAAAATAAGAATTAGTATAGCATTATCTGACGGGAAAATGACGATTTAAGCTTAGATTTGAATTAATTTTACTATTCATTTGTCGCTATAACACCAGTGGAATAAAATTATTGCTTTTGTTCGATAATCATTTATATTTAAAACATTAACTCTATTACTTATTATTTATTACAATGTATAAAACCTCTTTTGATTTTGACATTGGCAGAACGATGAAAATTTTGACAGGTGATTTTGGCGGGAAAATATTGACGTAGTTTTCTTGTTTTTCAAGAGTGTCTTATTTGTATTTGTTTATTTATAATGGGCTGGTGAACGAGTGCTCCCTATTAGAATAAAAAGCTATCATTAGTGGTGGACGCCTAAACCGTGTAATTAGTATTGGTATAAGAAATTGTTGCCATGTTTTAATAAATAATGAAGGAAATATATGGTGTTTTATTTATCTTCTATATATATAAAAATGGATTGCTGTTCCTTAGTCTCGCTAAAACTCGAGAACAGCTGAACGGATTTATCGTATCTTAGTCTTGAAATGTTCGTGGAGGTTCAGGGAAGGTTTGAAAGCTGAAAAAAATTGATTCAATTCCGGGAAAACCCTAAAAACAGCCCTTTTCTATTTCCCATACAAACGTTTTCTTTGACATTAGATTTGACAACTAACTAATATGTCAATCATTCTGTTTGATTGAAACAGGACAAACCTGATTATTAATGGCCTCTAAAACGGAATAGAGTTCGCCCGGTCAGCTATACATATATTACTAATGACGAAACTAACGCGGACGAAGTCGCGGGCAAAAACTAGTATATAATATATATGAAGGTTTCTGTCGTTTTGATTAACTATATATTTTATTATTTGGTGATATATTATATGGAATGGTCGATGAATTTCAAACGCCAAACTGTCAGTATAATTTTCGTTTGTGTTAGTAACTCAAACTAATGGTACTAAACCACAAAACTTTCTTATTTCCTCCACACAGTAGTCAAGATTATAATTCGTCCAACAAATAAAAACATTGACATTGACAGAATATTTCACGATTCCAGTGCGAATGAAGCTGTAGCATAAAAAAAAAAACAAAAATTAACGGTATATAAAGTTTTAGATGACCATCTCAAATTTTAATAGTAATTGGATTCTTATTCCTAACAGAAATTTTTTATATCATTTTTTTTGACGTAATATAATTTCATTAAATATTAATATTTCTATAAAAATAAACATGTTAGTTTATATCGTTGGTAATTTTTATTTTATAATAATAATATTAACAATATGCCCTGAATTCTTTAATATTGCGATATATTGGCAACTCTTAATAAAAACGAAAATAGTGGTTGGCTGTTTTAAATATGGCCGTCATAGGTGCAAATAAATGACTTTATTTTATTTTCTTTTTAATACGCTTATATTATCTTCGGCTGTACGTATGTAACGGAATCTTTGAGCACGATTTTCACCGGTTTTTAAACATCTGATTAACTTGAAACTTTGCATATGTCTCAAGGACCAATGACAATACAATAATTCGTTAACAATTTCCCATTATCCTTGTTAGGGCCGCCAGGATTAATATATTCTTTTCATAGATCCTTTATGAGTGTGAGGGACAGAGCTAGTGTGCGATCTGCGCATGTCCACAAAAAACTAATTGATAAATCGTACTAAAAAATATAAAATAAATATTGGTTACTAGCGTGTTTTTTTTTTAGTTTTTGAACTAATATTTATAATAATTAGTGTAATTTTTATATTTGTTATAAACACTACAGAAAAATATTTTATTAATTTCCTGTTTGTTTCCCAACTTAAATATGACTGATTATATAAATGTCTCTCTCTTTATTAGATTTTTTTTTGTCACGTCATATACGCAATGTTATTTTTCTATAGATTTCTCGATTACAATTATCGTAATACGAATATTATCGAAACTACCAGCCGTTTCTCAGAAACCACGTCTGTACTGAGATTAGTTAATTTTATTGTTTTAATTAGATAAGTCTTTTAAACCGGACTTGGAGTGAGGTCAGGATACGGTGGTAATTTTCCTACGATCACAAATAATATTAATATTTTAGTTATAATTGTTAAAAAAGGAAGTTATTCCATCATAACTCACTAGCGTTTGAGACTAAAAACATTTCTTTTACGATTTTTTATTAAAGAAAATAATGTATGTAATATATGTTTATTAGGTACTAGACTATTAGTAAATATCTGTGAGGGGCAGTTGGAATTGCTAAGCATCTGCTGGTGGGATGTAAGGTACTCCTGGACAGCGGTCAATACTCGCGTCGTCACGATAGGGTTCTAGAAGTCATACGTGAAGCGGTTGGTCTTTCGGTAGCCAGAGCGCAAAAGGAAATAACCACAAACGAACGATCAGTAGGTTTTGTGAGAGAAGGCACTAGGGCTACAAAATCAAATGTCAAGCTTTACTCCATCCTTAAAGCGGCCCCGGATTGGACTATACAGATTTAAACGTATGAGAAACAATATATAATTATTATAAAGCGCGTTATATTAAAAGAGCTTATTGTTCCTTGGGAAATAATAATTGTATTAAATGAAGAAAGTGTTTTATAAAAAAATCTTAGGGTAATTAAGTTAATAAGTCCTGATGGCCTAACTGTTAAATGCCCGACTCTCTTGAATGAAGACGCGGGTACGAAACTTGGCAAGTACCAATGTGATTATTCCAAGTCATATATACTTTTCTAAGAGTATTCAGACACCACTGAAAGACGCTGAAGGAAAACATCGCGATTAAACCTGGGCTTATAATTTCAAAATATAATTTTGTAATCACCAACCCGTTTTGAACAAGAGTGGTGATTAATGCTCAAATCTTTTCCATATGAGAAGCAGCCTTTCTCAGCAGTGGGCTCTGATAGGCTGATGATGATGAGTTTAGTAAAACGAAATATAAATTTATTAAAAAAATTACAGTCATTGTAATCACCATACGTTTCTATTTGGAAAAAACTTTTAAATATACAAAATTGTTCAACACTTGACTGTTTTGTGCAAGTCCAAAACACGGCATCTGATAAATATTTTCTCAGTAATCAATATCTCATCAGGAATCTTTGTTTCAAATTGATTATAGACGCATCGAAAACAGATATCAAACAATTGTCAAGTACGTCCTAAAATTAAAACATGGCTTTGTTTTAAAATATCTTTGTAATGACGTAAATTTTTATAGTTATTATAATTTCATATTTATAGCTAGCAACACAGAGAAAATCTCGTGAATTATGTTTTTCAACATACATTTTTATATAAAACTAGTTTTTGCCCGCGACTTCGTCCGCGTTAGTTTTGTCAATAGTAATATAGGTATAGCTGACCGGGCAAACTCTATTCCGTCTTCAATAACCCGGTATTGGTATTTATTAAATTTCTACTGTTTCAATCGAACAGAATGATTGACATATTAGTTAGTTGTCAAGTGTAATGTCAAAAAATCGTTTGTATGGGAAATAGAAAAGGGCTGTTTTTAGGGTTTTCCCGGCAATTTTTATAATTTTTGTCACCTTTTAAACCTTCCCTGGACTTTCAGGAGTATTTCAAGACTAAAAATAGCCAAATCGGTTCAGCCGTTCTTGAGTTTTAGCGAGACTAAGGAACAGC